CAGAGGTAGAAGTAAACCCTGCGGATAAAACCTCCCTGTTCTGGTTTTGGACAGACCACAAAGCTCCCATTGCTTTCCTCTCCAAATAAGAGAAATATCAAGACCTCTAAATAGTGCTACATCTTCTGGCAAACTACTAGTACATTTTTAGTTTTTCATGAAGAGTTTTAAAAATGTTGCCCTGCCAGCTAGTATATTAAAGACGCACCGTACAGACCTTTCCAATCCTTGGTTAGTCGGAAGACTCCAGAAAGGAGATGGACTTGCGGTGAGCGTTTCTTCTTTTCTGGGGGAGTGGAGGTTGGCCTTCCTTGTCTATTCATGAAACACTGCTCAGTCCGTGGTCACTTTGAGGCGACTGTGGCCTCGGGCTCCCATCTGTCCTCTTGCTCCGCTCAACTATATTTGGAAAGTGAGCTCATGTTTCCGCAGCCGGCCACGACCAGGGATGCCAGTGGCCCCGGCCTGAGGGCTGGGTTCTTAGAAACTCAAAGCACTTAGGGCAGAGGGAACTGTATCTAGGGGTCGCACAGACGTGGGGTTCACGCGTGCTCCTCTGCTCTCCCGCCTTGTGCCTGGAGGTCACCACCTGTCTTTTAAACATACTCTTAGTCAGTTAAAAGTGCGGCATGTGATGCCGAGTAGAAAAAGTGAGACTCACGAGGAATGCCCTTCTCACTGTAGTCTTCTGTCCATGCACGTGACTCAGTCACGCGGGGCATTAGCCCAAAGTATCCAGTAACTATTTAAAAACTCAGCCACCTGTCAAATCGAGTGGAGAGTCCCACTGATCTTCCTTCAATTTGTTAATTAAACATTATGATGTGACTTTGTGTGTATTGAGGACATGGTCCACCACGGGGTTAAACAGACAAACACCCAGGGACTGAGTCTCACACACACGGTGACACTGAGATCTTAGCCCAAAGCCCAGCTCACCCCCAGTGCCCAGCCAATGTCTGTGGGTGAAATAAATGTTGAACGAATCCTGTTCAGGATGAGTATGAACCTTCTCAAGTTGTAACAATCATCTCACGACCGTTTCATTACTTATTCTGTAGCACCTTGGTGTCACATACCCTAATATTTTGAACTTCCAAATAACAAGAAACAGCTCTTCTGTTCCAAGGTCAGAGAGCAGAGCCGCACATAAGGGGCAAAAAATAGTCACACGAAACCTCCTGGCTCAGTTAATCTGGACGTGAAGTACCTAGTTCTTGTTCGCACGGACAACACTGATAATACCGTTATCAATCCAGCTCCTTGTCTGAAGCAGTTTTTTCTTGATGGCGGAACACAGGAAGGTCTGACCTCATCCTTTCCTTACAGGCAACACTGGGCCTTCTTGAAAACACACTTGAAGGTACACTTGTGGGCTGTTCCAAAGCTAACAGGGAAAACCCCCTCTGGATGATAAAACACAGGTGTTTCTGTAACCAGGCAGATTCCAGTAGACCTTCTGGGAGCAGACCCCTCCCCCATGTCCTCTGTGGTAGCTCCTCCTGAAACACCCAGATCATAGTCTCTCATGTATATTTCCCGAGTTTTTCAGATGCTAAAGCCACTGAAGAAATGAACTACTTGATGGTCGAGAGCACGTGGCCCCAGCCCTTCTGGTGCCTGGGGGTTGATAGTGTTGATAGTGTTGACGCCCTGTTACCTGGACATCGGAGAACTGTGCATCAGCAAACCATGCACCTGCGACCCCCTGCCTCACCTGGCCTTTAAATAAACTTTGCTGAAACTCTTCCGGGAGTTCGAGGTTTTCTTGGGTGTGAGCCACCCCAGCCTCCTTGCTCGGCCTGCAATAAAACTTTCTTTGATCCAAACTCCGATGTTTCAGTTTGTTTGTCCTCACGGTGCAGCGGGCACACAAACTCGCCTTCCGTAACATTCATGTCTTCTCACTAAAACCTGTAAGACAATAGTAAAAACCCAACAAGATACAAATTGGGAAAGAAGACAGTAGACGATTCTAGAACTGGACAAAATGGCTGGAACATGGTTAATAGAAAGCTGAGTGGTCCAATTAAACTAGAAAAGGTGAATCCCTGGCGGGGGGGGCCATGAGGAGCAGTGACCCCCCAGGGTCACAGAGAGGCTGGGACTGGAGGCACTGGCCCTGCCTGAAACTGACTGTAACTGACAGCTCCGGGTGCTGCTGGGAGCACAGCAGGCGCCAAGACGGGAGCTCCTGACCCGCGGTTAGACCAGCTGGCCCTGCCCACGTCCAGACCACCCGCCAGCCCTGGGGAGCGTGGGAGGTCTGTTCTGGGGAGTGTATGAAGCAGCCACCAGCACCAGGGGCACGGATGCAGAAGAGGAAAGGACGAGGCCCGGAAAGAATCTTCTGGGAGTGGGACCAGAGAAGGGAAGAGAGGCTTCCACTGTATCTGGAGACAGTTCTAGAAAACAGGAATGCTTGATACATCTCAGTATTGTTGTGAGTGTCTGTTACACTAATAGCTGTAATTCTGGTTTTTAAGAATGTCATAATCAAAAACGAAACAAAGACCTCTGTTGTGTCTTAGGCAAAATGATTGTGGAGGACATTATAGGAGCCAAAATGTGTAACCTCTCTGTGATGTCACCTCAGTGAAGGAAAGAGCCACTGAGATCAAGTGGGCAAGTGGTCATCAGAGCCACTCATGCGATGAAGGTGGGAACAGTGCCCTCCCCTCTCCCCCTTCCCCTCCCCTCCCCCTTCCCCACCTCTCGCTCTTTC